AGAATCGACAAATCGCTTATGGGTTATTTATTTGCAAATTGTAAAAATCTCGTTGAAGTCTCATTGGAATATCACAAGGAGTCTTTACTTGACGAACCATTTTTGACATTAAAAGAATCACATCTTTACATTGACGACTTCGAAGACCACAGCACTAACGCTGTCACGCATCACCACCATCAATCTAATAGGATTCTTGCACCGATTCGCAGGTTAACAATGAAACTTTACAACGTGTCACCGGAACCTCTGATCTCTTTACTTTCCTCCCATTTCACCACCTTACAAGAAATCTCATTGCACATAGTATTCGAACTGACGCCCATACCCATGGAAAATCTAAGAAAGTTGGTAAAAAATAATACTGAATTTAAAAAATTGATGTTGTACACAATCCAGGGTAGGCGGACATTTGTTGGCGAAGTGTTGGAGAAATTCAAGAATGGTGGAGAATTACCAGATGTGGAATGTTGGTGGATTCCAGACTTGGTTTGATTTTATGATCACCAGTGTCTTATCAATGTTTACAATAGGACATCGTTGTTGTGGTGAGTCATTTAGTTGAGGTGAAGAAGAAGAAAAAAAAAAAAAATTCCATCTTCGTATTATTCACGAAAATTTATGTGATGTGATTTGATCACTTTATTCTTCAAACTTACAAATACCTCTTTTTTTTAAAAAAAAAAACTGCTTTACTGAACACCAATTGAATAAAATATGGTTTTTGGCGGTTGATATTTACTTTCACGTACGTGCTAAATATTTGATACGGCACCATCGCATTTAACTAAATTGTAAAATTCGCATGGTGCATCTCGACAATTATTTCTAGGTTCACTTCTCGCAGCCAGAATGATAACTTTTTATTTTATTTCACCTGCTACGAAAATGAAGTTTAACTTGTCGTTTCCGCTGCATCTTTTTCTGCAGTACCCTCATAATATCGACTAGTATCAGTTCCATGTTTGTTGTGATTGACAAAGTTGAATACCGGGAAGCTTGCTGTAACGATGAACGAATGATGGATCAAGCAGATAGATGTATATTAACATAACACACGAGATAATTGAGTGTAAGAAGAAATTGGAATAAAATCATTTACCAAAATTCAAGGCAGCGTATTTGGAAAAAGTCGACGCATAGTGTTGAATGTGATCGTCCAAACTTGATTCGCCGTACAACGGTTTTCCTTCTTTTACCCTTTGCCTCATCTCCTTTAAATCTTTTTCATATTCACTGGCATTCTCGGTCCACCCCCAGAATCTGACTACGGTGGTATAAACGAATGAATTATCGAGAATGTTTGATTTTCGAACTTTCACCTTAAAAATAGGTGAATATACTCACAACTGCTACGTTGATAGGCGAACATGAATCCACCGGTGAAACTAAGTCCCGCGCAAATCTTCAAGACTAGACCCAAACGTTTTGTAGGAGGTTGGTTTGCTGTCTTCTCTTTACATGGTGGAAAGAAAGATAAGGTTGTTACTTATTGTCGAAATTTGAATTCATCGTTGGCCAACCAATCTTTAATTACCTAGGAATAGGTAGAATGCGGGTCCGAACCCGGTGATAGTGGCCCATGCTAAGTAATCTGAAGGTCGAAAGTATCTAACTACACGATTAAAGTGAGGGTCAGTATCGATTACAGGGTATTCGGTTTTTGGAACTTGTGGGGGCATGATTTTAAAATGATTCGGTATTTCAGAAGGGAACCCATCAATTATCATCAGTTGATTGATTAGATGCGTGACCCGACATGACACGTGATCCAATCGCTTTTACTTCCAGTTCACGTTAATTAAAATATGGAATTCGAATAATATACATGTGATATTTTTGATCAAAAGAATGAATCTTTTCAGTAACAAGTCGGAACCTGTAAAGAAATATGTATATATATATATACGTGCATATATTACGAGGTTTAAATAAGTAAGTTTATTTTCCTATGTACAAAAGTTTTCGCTATTTTTACATTGTTGAAAATTTGTTCCCAATGTTTGTTATTACAATTATGTGTGTGCATTAACGGGATGTTACCGTTAACAAATAAAAATTCACAGGGGTTATATATGAAAATTAATTGGAAATGAGGCAATAAAAAAATTATTTTGAAAAAATTATATGATCACATAAATGAACGAAAATTTTTAAACTGGGCGTTGATGTCCGTGTGGATCAAAATACTCCTTGGTAGTGAGATTTGCGGCGGACAAAGTTGAAGTAGGAACGCGCCTGCGTTTAAGACGGAACATATTCTCGAGTTCTGTTGCATAACGCGAAGCGGTCCCAGCGTAAAATACCTGGATATAATGTTTTTATTTTATTTTTTTTTTTTAAGTCAATTGACAAAGAACAACCGTCAACAAGATTTCCATTTCTTTTTGAATAACGAACCTCAAATACTATGAGTATCGCTGCTAAGATAGCATTACGTATAATCTTCCATGTTTCCACTTCTTGACAAGATGCTGCCATGGTGGAATTTAAATTAGTACATCTGGTAATTGCTGTTTCTTTACTTTGAATTTGATTGACAATGAGAATGATGGTCATGACAACGTAAACTATGATGAAGACGAGCAACATTTTGGAGAGGATGCGAACTGCTCCCGCAGCTTTCTTTTAGGAAAATAAATTATAATGAGAGGGTCAGTCAACCAGATGTATAGAGCCGGACAACACGCCGATGATCACTTACGAAGAGTGAAGCAATAATTCCAAACAAAGATATCAATGCCATGGTAATGAAAGTAATACCAAAAATTA